AAAAAACCTTATCAGTAGCACACACCACACTAGTACTAACGCTTCGATAACACATTGAGGTTAATTTTTGGTACAATGCACGTCTTGTCCTAATTGTGACTCAGAAGGTGTGTCTGGCTTCATCCCTGATGAGTGGTGGTGACCCCATTGAGCCAAACCCAGCACCAATTGTTTCAAATGCTAAAGCTTTACCGACTATGCCACGACATGTACCTTGTATATAGCAAGTTTCAGTTGTTGGTATTGATTGAATTTAGTGAAACAAAGTGTTCTATATAATGTCAGTATATCACAGCTGCTGGTACAGAAGCTTCGTCCAAACATACCTTAAGATTGAATGGATCCTATTTTGATTGGTGACGACTATCAGTGGTGCAGACTTTTACCAACAGCTGCCCACTTTCACTGGCTGCATACTGAAGATCAAATGGCAAGCAGGCCGGCCAGAAAGAATTAGCAATTAGGCTAGTTAATATGGATCCCAACAGCCAGCCTCAGCAATATTCAGTAGTCGAACTCTTAAGGAAAAATTGAGATTCGTAGGTATGCGGTAAATGACCTTGAAAGCTGTCTGGTTAACGTCAATCAGTCTTGTGTTCTGTATCCAAACGATGAGATAGAATAGCGCTGCGAATAGATTTTGCTTGTCCTTTACTTAACCACAATGCAGGGTGATATTCGGAAATTGGACGAGAAACACGCTTATTGTACGGCCTATGTAGCTAACTGGCTCACTCCACAGGAGCAGTTAAATTGGGAGATACACATGAAGGAGGCGAAATTAGGCAGTTTGCTTTTTACTCCCGAAAGCAAAAGAGGAGTGGTTTTGAAGATACAGCGTAATTCGGCAGCAGGGAATGCTCTTCGCTTTGCCGCATTTCTAAGGCGCTGTGTTAGTATCTCACTAGTGTTGTCTCCTAGGAACTGCATCTGTAAGATTAAGGCCTGTTTTAGAACTGTTGGTAACCTGGGCTGCTTTGATTTCAGATTCATAATCTTATCAGTAAACTTTTCGGGATAACCATTTTCACTTAGCAACCGTTTAATATTATTAAAGTTCTTTATCGAGACATTTATCCGCGATGATTGCTCTTGCTCTATGAACCAAGCACTTTATCAGACTGCGTTTGTATTTCAAGTGCACAAAGCTGAGAAAATGTTTATACTGGCCAGTTGATGTAGGTTTTCTATAAACACTTCTTATTGTGCCGTCCTCTTTTCTGGTCATAAGGACGTCCTAAAATGAGATACTAAAGTCTTCTTCGCATAACAAAATGTATTTGAATTTGAAAGGCGGGCAACAGAAAACAAAACATATATCTTTCGGTCTGTTCTGAAAAGATGTTAGTGTCTCTGTAGCTGTGAAATACAGTATACATGTTCCACTGATTAGTATCATTATTATTACTTTTTTTCTATTGCTCTCTTGGTTTCCGAGTGGAACATATATACGTCTTCAACAGCACATCTCTACTTTGTCGTATTCCCTGCGTTTCCCTTTAGCTGGCGCATAGTGTCTGATTTCCTCGTCGGAATAACTCCACCATGTAACATTCAGACGTCCAACTCGTCGTTCCCCATTCACCTTTCACTCGAGGACCTTACTGGCTCGTGATGTCATTTGAAATGGTCTCCTCATTGGAGTGGGCCCAATACATCTCATTTTCTCAGATTCGTGCCTTTGAAATACAAACGCAATCTGATAAAGTGCTTGGTTCATAGAGCAAGAGTAATTTGCTCGGACGAATGTCTTGATAAGGAACTTTAATAATACTTAACGGTTGCTAAGTGAAAATGGTTATCCCGAAAAGTTTACTGATAAGATTATGAATCTGAAATCAAAGCAGCCCAGGTTACCAACAGTTCTAAAACAGACCTTGTTCTTACAAATGCAGTTCCTTGAGGACAACATCAGCGAGATACTAACACAGCGCCTTAGAAATGCGGTAAAAAGAGCTGTGTCTTCAAAACTACTCCTGTTTTGCGTTTGGGAGTAAAAGACAAACTGCCTAATTTCGCCTCCTTCATGTGTATCTCCCAATTTAAGTGCTCCTGTGGAGTGAGCCAGTTAGCTGCATAGGCCGTACAATTAGGCGTGTTTCTCGTCGAATTTTCGAACATCAACCTGTGTGGCTGGTTAAGTAAAGGACAAAGAAAATCTATTCGCAGAGCTATTCTATCTCATCTTATGGATACAGAACACAAGATTGATGTTAACGAGGTGGCTTTCAGGGTCATTTGCCGAATACCTACGAATCTCAATTTTTCCTTAAGAGTTCGACTACTAAATATTGCTGAGGCTGGCTGTTGGGATCCATATTAACAAGCCTAATTTGTGCGTCCAAAGAAAGTTAGTTCAGACATTATCCTTACCTCTGTGTCCATCAAGGTTTGAATGATCCTCAGTTTTTGTAGAATTTTCCTAATTTTGGTTGATATTCTATTTGCTACTACATTATTATTATTATTATTATAAATTAAGCATCCTTAACGAACTGTAATTCCATTGCGGTCTTACATAACAAGTCAATATTATTTAAAGAACACGAATATTGTTGTTGACTACTAATCTAGAATATTCTATTTGTATAAACACATATATATAATTGTAGAGCCAGAAGAGGCGGAATTTATCGAAATGAATATTCTTTGCTCGATTATTTTGTGTTTTATAGATGTCTGAATGAATATTTTTGCGGTAGTGTAGTGCATTCAAATACCCTGACCTATAGTAGTAATCTGCCATTGAAAATCAACCAATAGAAATCGAGCAAATCAATGTGGCGCGAATACGACTGAGAATCTGCCTGTAGTCATTCTGATGTCAGACAGCAGAATATTCCAGCATAAAACTATGCCTAAAACAGTTTGATTCTGGCACTTTACTTTCAGTGTCAGTCAGTCAAACTGATATGTGGGAAGAACATGTGTTCTTCTTCTTTGAGTCGGAGTGGAAGGTATCGAAATGATGGAAACAATATACATGTATACTTATTTATATTTCAGTAACATTGTAATGCAATAATATATATGTATAATAGGGTATATAAATCATTAGCTCGTAGCAGTAATAATAATAATATTAAATGTCTTTAGACAATAAACGAATACAAATCTCTTGGAGTTTCTTCTTTTTCTGTGTACATATACTACACACCTTATACATTGAAATCAGAAGACAGTAAATCAATACACACACGCACACACAAATAAATAAACAAACAAACTACTGTACATAGAATATTGAAAGAAAAACAAGACCAAAAATTAAAAAACCAAAGGGGTGGGGTGGGGAGAAAGACAAATAAGCAACTGGGGGTGGTCGAGTTTTGAGACAATAAACCGTTCATTGGAGTTGGTCATGAGGTGGAAGAGGAGGAGGTGATTGGTGAGGTCGAAGTGATGAAGAGGCATGCTGAAAACGAAATGCATTGTTATCCCTAATAATTCATAATGATAATAAACGGAAAAAATATGGAAGAATCAATTAGGATTTACTCTAAAGAGGTATGCTTAAATGTATACATTATTTGTGCGTATTATAGTTCACTTTTTGCTGCTTCTTCTTATATTTTTGATAATAATTATCCTTTTATGAAGTTGTGACGTAATACGACGACGTAACAGGAAGAAATTGAATGTACATAATAACATGGCTGATTAACTGACTGACTGACTAAATAACTTGTGTTGTAATTGATGTTACTCTACAAAGTTAGATTAGAGAAGAGGACTGAAGAGAAGGGCAACAAAGGGAAGCGAAGAGCATACTATTTAAATAATTATGAAAAATTTACATAAAATAGATAGAGAGATAGATAGATACATAGATTAATCACATCACATCAATCAAATCAAATATGGCTGAGGTATGTACATAAAATGTGTACATAAATGGTCATAGATACACACACACACAAAATCCAGACGTTTATTCGTCTTCCGAGTTATCTCAATCTGCAATATGATGTGAAGCATTAGTATCAATCGATCAATTGATTGATTGACGCATGACTCATTTCATGTCTCATCTCGAATCAAGTAAACTAAACTGTTGGACTAGGATATATGCACTCGTTGTATTTGAATGAAATAAGATAAGATCGATTCAAAGGAAAATAAGTCATAATATACAACAAAATAATTTTTAGAAAAACAAAACAAAATGCAAGAGAATTACTACGATTAGTCATTAATGTATATATGGATGAATAATGATACATTCATTCATACGTACATACATACACATACACACATGTATCGATTTTTCACGCATTTAAACAAAACGAAAAAATTCAAAATTCCCGCCGACATCTTATTCACTAAATTTAAACTAATAAAAATAATAATAATGTATGATACAGTGAGAAGCATAAAATTCGAGGCGGATAGTAAGTAAACACTTAAGGGGTTACATACAAGAATCGCCAAAGTTGGCGGTGAGAATAAAATTGAGTGACGAAGTGAACAAGAAAGCTAAAGAAGATAAAATGCACTGTACATTAGAGGATACATTAAGATAGCGTACATTAGTGTAGGGGGAGGAGTAGTAGTAGCAGTGTAGTAATAAGAGTGGTGACAATCACGACATTAATCAGAATAATACTGAAAAGTGAATTATGTTGACATCTCTGTACACATTTGAAGAGACGCACAGAAAGATAATTAACAATGATAAACGACAACTATACACACAACAACAACAACAACACACACAAACACAAACACAGATGGACACAAACACTCAGTCACATATAATAAATCAGAAAAAAGGCACATTTTAAAAAAAATCATAAAATATCATTTGAGTGGAGAAGATATTCTTTAAGTCAAATAGAAAAACAAACAAGCATAGGAAGCATGAAAAAAAATAAAAGACACGCAAAAAAGGGGGAAGTACACAATTTTCATCTGATTTCTTCAGTATTCTCTGGCTCTCTATCGAACACCACCTCCTCGCCTGTTAGAGAAATTTATCAAGAAGCCATTGATCTAACTAACTAACTAATCCCCACTCCACCACTGTCATCATCGTCTTTAGCATTCACTGTCTTATTGCCAACATCACAATGATTATCGCTTATAGACGGCAGTTGATAATTGTGTTTTGATAGTTGTGAGACAAGTGCTTGATGAATAAATGCATACTGTTTGCCAACTTGTACAGCACCAGCCCGTTGACATCTTAATTGGCTGACAACCTCCGGTACATCGAGGTAGCCTTCATTGATTGCTTGTTGTAGACAGATATCAGTCGTGACAAATGTTCCTGCAAAAAACAAACAAATGTAAAAAAAGGAGAGGAAGAGTTACCCCGTTACTCGATTGATGATGTCATCGATTGACTGATTAGAGAGAGCATAATAGGGATGTTCAACATTTCCTTCAGTATGCACAACGTCTTCTTATCCGTCTGACGTGACCGTTATTCATCCAGTTTTATACATAAACAAGCGAATAGAGGTTAGTGATTAATGGGAATACAGGCTATAATGGGCGCATATTGTGTTCGTGTGTGTGTGTATAGATGTGAGGCGTCACAACACTACCCTTAGCTGGCCATCTTCATTATTCAAAGCAATTAGTGTTGGTTCACAGTGAGAGAACCATTGGAAGATCAGGCAGTCGTAGTTTGGAACCCTACAGCAGTACCCACCTACTGGAGTCCGAACCCGGGACTTTCCGGCTACAAGGCGATCTCGTAGACCATTCAGTCACTGGGACCCCGATTCCAACTTCTACAAATTCACGACATATAGCGCAACCCCTAGCCGACGTAATAGGTGGATAATCGTTATCTTAGCTGATTTGCTAGACTCCATCGACTACGACTTCTCACTCGAACTCCAGATGACCTCCTGTCTACAGTCAGTGGCTAGTGAGGAGCATCAAATTAATTATCAAGCGTTGTGGTTTGTAGGGATTTGATTGTAACACCTTGTAACCAGAAGATGCTGGGTTCGAACCCTGATGGGTGCATGCTGATGAATAGTCGAAAACTAAGACGAGACAGCTATCCAGTACTCCTTGATTTTCCAGTGATTCTCAAACTGACCTCAGCTTGTGATCATATTTTTATGAATTGTGATCGGACAGTTTTTTTTATTCCTTTACGTTCCTAGTGGAACATAGGGCTTCAAGCTAGAGGCTTGAAGTTTCTGTAGCAGTGTTTATTTTTACAGGATGGGGTTGCTAGCCTTATGCCCAACCTCTTTGCCAGTTCTATTACTAGCTCAGCGAGGTAAAGGAGTGTGTCGGTCGGGGACCGAACCCTGGACCATGTGCATGGTCGGCGAGCGTCCTAACCGCTGTGCCACCGACGCGATAAGACAGTTAAGAAGACTTAATTTTATCTGAAACGTGCAATGGGTACTTGAGCAACACATTTTGAACATTTTCATCATACAAGTATTTGTCGTACTTATCAAAACGTTTACGGGTAATGATCACAGAAAAAGAGTAGGGAAATGAGGTAAGAAAAGGTGGGTGTGATTACATTATTAGTGTAAAATGAACGTTGGTTCTAAAATTGGATTACCAAGGCAGGTTCAGTGTAATGACATATAACTTTTTAATACAGAAAACAGGTTTAAGCTTTTTCATGGATAGGGCTTCAACAAATATAAGTATATTATCCAAACCAGTTTTATATATGACTTTAAAGGCATTTTGATTTAGTTGTGTTCTCTGAGGAGCTGGTTAATTTAATTGTGAAGCTTTCGTCTTCCTTCTAGACAACATCGCGTCAGCTCAGGTTTTAGTATGAAATGAACCTATGGAGAATTCAAACAAATTCACTTTATAGTAAAACCTGAGCTGAAGATGTTGTCCAGAAGGGGGACAACGAAAGCTTTGCAATTAAATCAACCAGCTCTTCAGAGAACATAACTAAATCGAAAGGCATTATTGAAATCAACGTGATAACCCGTCTCTATGATGTGTGCTTTGTGATAGGTGATGTTGGACATCTATTTCCTGGATTGAGTGGATCAAGTGAATTTCATTTGTTCTTGAAGCCACATAGGATTGTGTTCTGTGGCTCTGACCTGGAGAGATCGACGGGTCCTCCCCAAGTACTTATGACCAAACACGTGAACTGGTAAACACTATCACTGTGACTGGCTGCAGGACAAAATACATCTCGTTTTCTCCATGACAATGAGTCTAGCTACAACCCTGAGTCTTTGTTAAGTGATCAGACTTTGGGAATCCCCATAAAACGGTAAAGATAAATAAATATTCTTTTTAGAAGATGTTCGCATTGGTAGAGGCCGTTATTTGGGCGCTTCAGATTGCTTTTTTGTTGGTCTTCCTTATTATTTATCCTACAATGTCACCAGCTCCCAGAAGTAAATAGCTACACCATCTAGTCTTAAAGAAGCTAGTCATCACTTGACTATTCTAGTCGTTAAGTTGACGACTGTGGGATTAAGGAGTGGCAGTAAGAATACTGTTTTTTCAAAAACAAGAATTATAATCCTCAAGTTTACGAAGACACCTTTAAAATTCTGTAAACAGATATAAGATCAAAATTTAGCAGGGTTTCATATGTATTAACAAACTAAGTAACTCTCAATATTCTTTAAAATTGTCATTAGACGGTTGGAGACCATCGGTAGAACGCTCATCAGCAGCGAGTGTGTATGGATTTGTGAAGTAACTGATGACTCCCTACACACCTTCTGTTGCAGTCATAGAAGTTACCACTCAGATATTCGAACTTTCGATTAACTGGCAGAATTCAGTCAGCAGTACCGCAAAGGACTGAACGCACATGACACCGGTTACTTGCACTTCAATGATCAAGGCTTCCTGTGGCCGATTGCCTCCAACTATCTAATATGTCATCAAATCAATGCGCACCGTGATGGCGAGCTAACTAGAATAGTGACTACATTGCAAACCTGACTGATAGAATTCGGTCTGCACCAAGGAAAGGACTAGATACATCACACTAGTTAGTTACTAGTGTCCAATCAAATGAACAATCAATATAAATTGTCGATATTTTTTATCATGAACTTCTCAGAGTTGTTATGTTACCTCGTAATTTCACAACTTCTCTATATGTTGGGACGAACAAGCCCCTTTGTTAGCGGTGAATTCGTGATTAATGCAAGTGATGACATCATAACCTTATTGGACAATTTTGATTCGTTTATTTATGGCTTAATTTTCTGAGGAGCTTTGATGTTCATACAACCAATCAGATTTATTTTGTTTTCGACTGGAATTCCTAAGGGTTAGTAAAATATAATAAATACGAAGTATTTTGTTCTAATAAGAGTTGTTGTTGTCATCGTTCGGGTCATCGTTTTCCCCAGCTTGACATTTTTTGTCTGTTTATCTCTGTGTGAGAGCCAGTTCCGAGTGGTCAGTTGGTTGCAAGTAGTGTCAACTTTAGCAGGTGCATTCTCCCCAAGTTGGACTTGACCCACAACTCTGTATCACTCTGTCATAAAACAGTGTCTTACGAATGGTAAATGAAAATAAAGGGGAGAGGGGAGGGCGGAACAATAAACAACAACAACAATAAGAAGAAGAACAATGGGAGTCCACTACTCAACCGGCTTACCTGTACGTCCGATACCAGCACTACAATGCACTAACAGTGGTGATGTAGACATTGAATTATTACTATAAGTAGGATAATTTGGCATTGTTGACGACGATGCCGATGGAGATGGCAATGGAGATGGTGAAGATGATGATGATGAGACAACCGGCACTGATGATCTTGTCTTATGACTTTGTTTAACAGTGAATAGAAATTTTAAAAAGCCATCTGAATCGATGGGTACGTCGAAATCTGGCCAACCTAAATACAAATAATGATACACTTCTAATTTATTCTCTGATGTATTCGTCGACGATGGAACATTGGATTCCTACAAAAAAAACAAGAAAAATAAGGATAGAAGGAGAAGAAGAACGAAAATCAGAGAAATATGCTTAGATGAATGGCTCTCTATGGGTGACTCTAAACTATAGCAGCCCTACCTAATAAAGACCTTGACAAATCTCTATCGACCAATCAGATGCGTCCGAAGCAGAAGTGCGTAATTTGAAAAAAGGCATTTATATATATAAGTAATACAGCGTTAAAAAGTAGTTACATAGATTAAATTTTTTGTACATGTTCCAAGAAAAGCTTCCAGCTTCTTATAGGAGTCCTCATTGTTAGGTTAAACCGATTTCCGTGTGTAAATTCGTCGAGATAACAGTACAAATCATCGTGTTTCTTGACTGATTCACCGCTTCAACACTCTTTTTGTTTAGGTGACTCTAGAAACTTTTGATGGAATTTGTTTTTGGTCCCATCGAAAGGATTAACGAAGTCGTCTGTATTATTATTGATCACTTTATGAATACAGTTCACTTTTTCTCCCTTCAAATGAACCTGTGGTCTAAACAGTACTTAAATTTGGTGCATAGTTCGTGTATAACAGTCATAATTCCGGCTGTATACGACCGACTCAACGTCTTTAATACGTCCCACTAGGCAGTTTCGTTTTGGGCTGCTACACTTTAGAGTCACCACTCTATGCACTACTGACTGGTCTTTTTGAGTAGTTGTATCTGTTTGTCTGGTTTCAACATAGAACTTTGCACTAATGTGCAGCAGTTCGAGTCGCCACACTTCACTCAGCACACAAAGCAAGAGAAGAAAGTAAAAAGAAACACAAAATAGCGACAGTAAACAGAGATATGAGGTAAAAAGAATAGTAATATGGAAGAACAATACAGTTTTATTGAAAATTATAAGTCAAAAGGAGTGGATACATCTGAGCCAGTCATTGAGGACGATTTTGAGCCATATCACCAATTGTCTCCAGCCTTCATTGGTGTTTACCGTCCCGAGGACCCCGACCAGGAAGTCTACATCTTCCTACATGGCTTGAACTAACTGTTGTGGATTTCATTGAACGATGAAATGTTTTGGTTTGACCACCCTATGTCAGTTAACATTGCCAGTAGTGCTTACCAGTCAGTCAGATCAAAATGATCTTGAACATCGGGAGGTCGTTTCGCTTCTTTGGCACCGATATCATCAGTGGTGTAACGAATTCGTCTCAGCTCAGATAGCTGAATCCGTTCAAATCACCGCAATTCCAGATAGCTACCTGGGTAAAAGAGCCAAACAGCAGTTTGGTGTTTAGATCACTTTGATGTGACTAGCTTGCAAGCACTACTGGTTGATGTGAGTGGTGTTCAACTAGTACTCATATCAGAAAATCAGTAGTATATGCCATCATATATTTATATATTTGCTTTCTTGATTGCCAATTAAGGAATCAAGCAGACCATATACTATGAACTGAATAATTTTGATTTGAAAGGAAACTGCAGTCGATATTTCACCTCAAACGGCGAGTTAATTTTCAAATCGGAAATTTAATTTAAATTTGACGAATAAAGGTGGGATGTTAGAATTCATAGGTCATTGAATCCCCCGCGTCCCAGTTTCAGAATGGTCAACGAGACACCTCGTAACTTAAAGCTTCCGGGTGCTCTCATGAACGAACTGGCGGGGTTGCGGGTGGGTAGACTTCGGTCTTCATGTAGCCACGCGTCCATAGTCTCTGTCAGGTAAATTATATTTACTGCCTTCACGCGGCTGCTAGTGTTTTGCACAATAATAAGAGGAAACAGTGAGCGTCTAACGCTTCCAACCGGACTGGCAAACATGCAGGTCTATGAAGGCGAGATGGATAACTCTAGTTCCAAACATATGGTGTGCATGGGTTCCAGAATCCGAAAGGATAGCCCGTTTTGCTAACCAGAAACCATGGAATGGTGCTACACTGACTTGGGGATTGAACTTCAAGTCAAAGATTCAGAGGATAGCTTCTTAAGACAACCGCCTGCTTCAGTGTGGTACAAACTAAGAGATTTGTGCGGAGCATCTCTTGGTGAGTGCTTAAAACGTACCTAGTTTGTATTTTAACAACAATAATAAAAGTAGAATAGAGTTCCAGGGTTCGACCCTTGGTAAGGTCATGGCAGGGTACTACTGATATCTGTCCCGTATTCCCTGATGGTTTTCATTCATATTGACACTATTTTCCTCAAACATTCAAAAGCCAATGCAAAGAAAAGAAATGACAAAACTCTAAACTAAACTACACTTTCAACGGAGTATCTGTGCATGCCTCACACAACCCAACAGTCAGACACTTCATAGATCGATACCAGGAAGTCCATGGTTAGGCACGCATAACACAAAGCTACACAACTTCATCGATAAAACTTTCTCTCCTTACGCAATGGTCTGTGCTTTATCCTCATAATTATTATTATTATTACTGATATGCACAATTTCAAATTAGCCGCCCATTTTAAGGCCATGTGTTCTTAAATAATATAAACAATACAGTTTGTTCAATAGAACCTGAATTTAAATTTAAAAGGAATGAAATTATAGAAAATAACTTTGGATAGGTTTATTTTATAATTAAATATAACTATAGTGTAATATATACTTTTTATTTTTTTTAAACGGATGACCTCAAATGTTAAGTGGACGGCTGTGTGAACAAAGCATGTAGAAATCAAAGGAGGATAACTAACCAAAATGTGAATATGGCTGTTATTCATATGCAATTTATCTCAAATTAAATAATATTGATTGTAATATAGTGAATAATGTTGCATACAATATCATCTGTTGTGTAAATTCACTCGGTGTTCAGTGTTCTTGTCGTGTAAACGGTGATCGGTAAGTGATGGTGTGTGTATGTGGACAGAAAACCAGGACATGACCTAATCTACATTGAGACAACACAGACAAATGGGGAGGGGAGGGGCAGGAGGTAGAATGAAGGCTAATTCACAGTTAGTTACATAGATAAACTAATTTTAAGATATATATATATATATATATCCAATTATGTAAACATTTGATTTGAAAGTTTCGCAGAGTTATATGAAGTGAAGTTTCAGTAGCTAGGTTAACAACTAGTTGGCTTATTTAATGTTCTTGTTTCTTGCAACTGTTATGTGATTAACAATAATAGGGCACTAGTTATACGACCGGGAATACGACTCAGTAGCCCGGGAGCAATACAGATCTAATGCGCCGACTTACTGCTCAGCAGTTCGCTCCGTCCTTCTCTATGGCTCTGAAACATGGCCAATGCGAGTTGAAGACATGAAAAGGTTGACTATTTTTGATCATAGATGTCTACGATCTCTTTCTCACGTTAGGTGGATGATAATAAGGTAAGTAGTGTTGACGTTAGGCGTAGAGTGTTGGGCAAAGAGGGAAAATCAATCGAAGAGGCTACAAAGTTACATAGATTGAGATGGCTAGGTCACGTGCTGCGCATGCCTAACCATCGCCTCCTCCGACGGACGGGCATTACTAGCTGATATAGGTGCAGGTTGAAAAAGAGTAAGTGGTGGCCAAACAAAAACATGGCCTCATCAATCCATGAAATCCTTGACAGTTAAACTGAGTCAGGTAGGGAGGGAGATGCAGACTTCCGAGTTGGGGCCTTCGGGACTCTAAGAATCAATGGCTGGAGACAATAGATGATATGGCTCAAAATCGCTGTCAATGGAGCAGATGTATTCAGTCTCTGTAATCTTTCATATTCCTTTCTACCATTACTCATTCTGTTTCACCCTTATACTTGTCAAAACTCTATTGATTCTCTTCACTCATCTTTGGCAACTCGAACTGCTGCACTTCGGTGCCAAGTTCTATGTTGAATCCAGACAGACAGACAGAATGCGCCGACTGGAAATACTTTAATCGCTTACAGTACTACTGCCACATGAAACTCACTAACTGACTGAGTTTCAACATAGTACTACTTTACACAAAAGTGTAGCAGTTCAAATTACCACACTTATGTTGCAGTCATTTGTCCAGAAAAGAAAGGATTCAAAGGACCTATTATAAACAGAAACGTGCGAGAGAAAGGATACTAACTAACATGGAGGAATGGGAGGGTTTAATGGATCAGGGGGGGGGATTACAAAGCGTGAATGCATTTTCAACATTGAGAATGATTTTGAGCAATACTACCAACAATCTCGAGGCATTTAACTACTAGGCGTATCGAGAACCTTAGCCAAGGAGTTTAAACCTGCCTACATGACCCAATCGATAGCCGAAGATTCCATGGACTAATGTTAAGTTTTGATTTGGCTATTTCTGACTCTTTTCCAATCTAACCCTATGTGAGCTGATATTACTAGTCGGTGAATGGAATGGCTTGGAATGAGTAACACATGTCCTAGCCATCTCAATCGATCTAGTTTTATGACACTATTGATTTAATTCTCCTCCTCACCTAGTAATCAAGGCCTAACCTTAATATTACTCACCATATTGTACCATTTAACACCCGAGATAGAACGTAGACATCTGTAGTCAAAAATAGACAACTTTTTCATATGTTACGCTTACAATGGCCGTGTTACATGGCTATAAAGGATAACCAAGAGAACTGCTGCGCAGTATACACGTCTTTTGATGAATAGCTGACACACGATGACAAGAACAGAACAGGAAACTTCTAAGTCACCTTGAAGAATGCCGAATAAGTTTAAAGAGTGTGATTTGAACTTTCACAAAAGGTGGGAATATAAAAAGGTATCATGGGATACAGTTATTTTAAGGGTTAAAAACCAAAATATACACAGTATTGGCAGCATACAATGATATAAGGGTAGAATTTCGGGGCAATATAGTGGAAGGGACATCTGAGACCCTACGTAGGATTCTAAATAAGGCAGGAATTAGGCTGGTGGTGGCATTCAAACCTACAAACTCACTCAGGTAGGACAAGCTGTGTAGGCTAAAAGACCCGGTGGACCCAATTAAACAAAATAATATAATTTACAGAATACCTTGTAATGACTGTGAGGTCCACTATAT